GCTGCTGCTGCACTAGATGCTGTTGCTGCTCCTGCTCTAGCTGTTTGCTGTTGCTGTTCTAGCTGCGGCTGCTCGTGCTGCTGCTTTCCCGCTAGAGTGCTGCTACCACGCCCTGTCCAGGTGGTGTTGCTATTTGCATCCTTTTGCCGTACGATTCCAAAGACAAAGAGCTTGTTGCTGCTGCTTCTTCTGCTGCTGCTGTGTGCAGGAAGCAGCAGACCGGCTACAGCGCCTTGACAGCAGCGGGCTGTCTCTCGAGTTGCTGGAGCGGCTTGAGGAGGTCTGCCCTCTGCCGGAGGAGCTCGATTGCTTCCAGCCATACCTACAGCAGCAGCAGCAGCACGAACAGGAGCAGAAGCAGCAGCAGGTGTCTGAAGGAGTCTCCATTCCCCCCCCTCTCCGTGATGTAGAGGCAGCAATGCTGCCTCTAGCGCGTCTTGCTGCTGCCTCCTCTCGCCTTCGGGTCGTCCGCTTTGATTTGCTGGCCCCAAAGACAATCAAAGAATTGGATGAGGCTCTTGACCTTGTAGATACAGCTGCAGAACAGGTACCCAGCACCCTGCTGCTGCTGCTGCTGCGACTGTTGTTGCTGCTGCTCCTGCTATGGCCGATGGTGTTGCTATTGCTGCTCCTTCTGAGTCTGTTGTTGCTGCTGCTTCTCGTGCTGTGCTTGTTTTTCTTGCTGCTACTGCGCCTGTTNTCCTTCTGAGTCTGTTGTTGCTGCTGCTTCTCGTGCTGTGCTTGTTTTTCTTGCTGCTACTGCGCCTGTTGTTGCTGCTGCTGATGTTGCTGCTGCTGTTACTGGCCGTGAAGCTGTGCGTGTGTTTCTCGCTTGCTGCGTCCGTCTTGTGGCTGCTGCCTTGTGTGTGTGCCTGCGGGGCTGGTGATTGATGGTGTTATTTGGTGGGGTTGTTGTGTCTTTCTGCATACAGGGGCGCAGCAGCCGCAAGTTTCGGGTGCTGCTGCAAGCGGTGCTGCAGTGGGGAAACTATGTGAACCACGGGGTGCGGCTGGCAGTAGCAGCGGAGGAGACGCAGGCTGCCGGTGAAGCAACTGCAGCAGCAGCAGCAGCAAATGCAGCAGCAAGTGCTGCCTCTGTAGAATGCC